GCGAGGGCCATTGTTCGCCCGCTGTTCATTGTGGGACCTGCGACTACCTCCAGGGTCACGTGGGAGGAAGCTCTTAAAGGCGCAGTAATGAGCGCTTTCGCCGTTTGCGAACGCTGGTCTTACGTCATGGCGAGACCGTTGAGGTTTGTTTATTTTTTTGGTTATTGTTATTGTGGCACCCGCTTGGAAATGGCTAGATAGAAGAGACTACTCGTGGGGTGAGGTGGTCGTGTCTATTTTGTTGGTCAATTGGGTTTATTTGGCAGTATTTTGAGAGTGTGTGTGTGTTTGTGTTTATGTTTGTTTTTGTTTGTTGTGTCGTTGCCCTTCCTTTCCCCTTATTCATTCTTCGCCTCACAGCCTCACTGAACCTTTTTTTTTTAATCATTAAACCTTCATCTTCATTTCTCCAGATGGCACACAACCTCCTCCCTCTTCCCTCCTGTAACTGTATGGGTAAATTCCATCCAGTTTCCTGTCTACATCTGGAAATCTCCCTTGCCCACCGTGCATTGAAAAGATCAGACAATTGCATCAGAGACATTTCCTTCTCCGACAAAGCAGCTCATAACAAACAAAAATCCTGGCTAGCTTGCCATCGGGCATAGGACTTCTATTACGGATCTTATGCCATCTTGAATGTTTATCGGCATCATAATCATGATGATGTTATTGTTATTGTTTATTGTTGTTGTCATCCCAATCACCATCATCATCATCTATATATATCATATGATATCATTATTATTAATTGATCATTATTATTAATTTATTTTCACTATTACTATGATTGTTATTATGTACGGAGATTAACTTTACATTGACCACGCCATACTATTCTGATACAGGATATTTATCTCCACCCATTGTCAGACAGACAATGTAACAGTAACAGACAATGCTAGTGAATGCCTAATACGTCATTCTGCAGTAACTGAGGGTCATCTTCAAGTCGGTACCATCTAGAGAGCTTGTAGTCTTGTTGCCATGCAGCAAATTATACGTTACCGTGATAATTAAGGTCTTGTATACACCACCAACATGTTTGTGTATATTTTTAGCATGTTACTATTAATAGTGTTAGTAATATAATTTTTGTCCGGTATATCAACAATGGTCTGAGTTAAAAAGGGGGGAGGGGAGGGTGTTAAAGCGTATGTCATCATCCATTCTTAGTGGGTAAAGAGTTCTGTTATTGAAGCCGCTTGTAGCACAGTTGTTCTCTGAATCTTGACAGGGATGGTGCTGCCTGTTCTTTAGTTGCTGCTTTAGTTGCTGTTCTCCTGCAATTCAGGATCATTTGCATAATGTACGTGCAAGACTTTATTCAGTTGGTCTCGCAGCATAGATATGGAAAGGCATGGGAAGGGAGAAAGGGAGCCAGGGATAAAAGAAGGAGAGAGGGAAGAATGGTGAAAAAGAGAAGAGGGGGGGGGAGGGGGGAAAGATATAGAGGGAAAGAAAATGTGAGAGGGAGAGGACGAGAGAGAGAAAGATTAAGACAACCACGTCGGCAGAGAGATAGAGGCAGGCAGGCAGGCGGGCAGGCAGGGAGGGAGAGAGGTAGAGGGAGAGGGAGGGAGGGAGGGAGGGAGGGAGGGAGAATGAGAAGGAGAGCGAGATACACAGCCAGACAGACAGTCAGCAAAGCGAGAGCGACCACAGGGCGAAGGAGGGAGACAGGGAGCAGACACCAGGGTCCATAAGTAGAGGGCACGGAGAGCCGGCTGTTGTGAGGAGGGGATCTGCTTCCACAGCGACAGGAACTTAATTGTGCATGCCAGGGTCATCAACGTCGCCGTGGATTTTTTTTTTTTTTTTTTTTTTTTTTTTTTTTTTTTTTTTTTTTTAACGCCTGACACTAAATTAGGATTTTTACAAGGTGTAATTGTTGGATTATGCTAATTACTTGAACTCTCGCGTAGAAAAAAAGTTTTATTATTGCTAATTGCGAGTTTCTGCATAATTTAGCCTCGGTTATACAAACAAGAAGGAAATTCTTACAGGTGTCTTTCTCTTTGTTTACCCTCGTCCTAATTGGAGGTGCGACTACCCTCTTTCTGGTTCTTTTTACATTTATTATATTTACTGTGCCAATTTTCTTCTTTTTTTCCTCCATTGTCTTCTCTCCTGCTGCGAGATTGACGATCGCATATTCCACTTCTACTGCCCCGGATTCCACTCCCTTCCACATGATTCCTTTTACTCAGATCGCAGTTCGTCGCCTTGCCCCCCCCCCTTCCCCCCCTTTGCTCTGGCCAAAGGGTGAGGGCTGTTCGGACCCTAAAGTTTTGCTTTTAGTTGGGAATCGATTTTCATGGCAACAGCTTTTTAGGATATATAGGGAAAGTTGGTTTGATATCAGTAGTTCTGGGCCGTGGTAGATTTTTTTTGTTTCTTTTTTTGTGTTTGTTTGTTTGGCGGGTGATTTTTATTTGCGCCGGTGTTTGAACCTGTACACGGAATCACTCAGGCACGCGTGTACGTCGATGTACACATAGGACGCGGACGCTCATATTGATTGCTTCAGTTGGCTGGTC